ACTGTGGGGCCGAGCTGATGTTAAAAGGGAAACTAATCTTTCACAAAGGCCTGGAGGAGAAGTGGGCGCAAGGCTGGGGGTCATTTCTATGTGGGTGGTGAGAAGCGTCCAAGTGTTAAGCAATGAAGAGTGTTGGGAGTTTGTGTTGAACCTAAAGTTACTTGTTAACAGGGTGGCCTGCCTCTCTTGCCCCCACGCAGACAGTGGACACCCCAGCAGAGTGCCCAGTGCTCTGCTAAAGTGGGGCTTAAATGGACGAGACCCTAGTGACCTAGCATTCCCAAGGGAGCTCAAGGGCAAATGGGCCTCAGCAGGAAGCCTGGCTGAAGTGTCCATCTGTCCGGCCTGCCGGGGATGACAGCAGGTGCAGCTCCTCCTCTTCAAATCAAGAGCAGACCTTTACCTGCAAGACTGACTGTCTTTGAAACTGCTGTGTGGAGGGGATGTCTTGGGTGAAAGTAAAAGAACAGTCATTGAGGGCCCAGGGTAATTACAGTTCCCTGCGATTGTTCTTACTTACACATGAGGAAGCAACAAGAGAATGTGTAAGGAAAAAAAGCACTGGATGATCCAGCATTTCCTGTCAATCTGGGTTTGAAATACAATTTACAGGGTTGTGTGTGTGTGTGTGTGTGTGTGTGTGTGTGTGTGTGTGTAGTTTTTACTAGCCCAGGGACAATTTTATGCTGCCTCTCAGACTCCTCACCACCTGGGACTAGATGAAGGTGGGCCCACTTTATTTTCAATCTCCATATATGAGGCAACTATTCTCTGTACCAGGCACTGTGCTAGGGGTTTCAAAGTCCCTTATCTCATTTAATCTTCAGGTAGGTCTAAGTGGTAGTGCTGAGTCCACACTGCTCCCTTGGAGAGGAATAGAAGCTGAGAAAGGCTAAGGAACAGCCCAAGGCTGCCCCACCAGAGAGGGCCAAGTCTGAGCTGTTGCCTCCGAGGTTTCGCACTTAACCAGAGTATCAGCCGGGGTGATTTGGTCCCGTGGGATGATGTAGGGGGAGGGACAGCTGCTAGCAACTAGTGGAGTTTGGATGCCGCCAGATGTCTTAGAAATGTACAGACAGGCCCCTTCCCCCCCACCCCCCGAAACAAAGAACCATCCCAGAACAAATTGTCAGTCATACAGTTGAGAAACTCTGCTTTTCACTTAGCACAGATGACTGGGGGTCTCCCCCAAGATTCCCTCAGGAGCTAGAGATGGACAGAGGCAGGTCCTTGACCCAGCTGGCTTTTGACCCAAAGGGTGGAATCTATTTTATTTTTACTTTGACTTTGAGTTTACTTTTTCCACTTCTGGAAGAAGGGAAATATGTCTGAGTAATGCCTTGAGAATGAATACTTAAAGAAAGAGAAGGAAATGGATTTTTTTGAAGTCTTGTATGCACAACAGACCAAACCCCCTGAAACCCACTGTAATATTTATCTTTAAAAATAGTCCTTAGGTTTCAAGGACAACCATGTCTCTACACCCCCACAACCCTCTTTGGCACAAGTGAAGAAGTTGAGTTGGGAAAGGGTCACATTCAAGGTCACATGTTAGAGTCTGGATTAGAACTCAGACCTCTGAGTCTCTACTTCACATGTTTGGTAGTATCCCCCCGCCCCCTTTTTTTAAAGGAAATAATAAAAGCCATGCTAACGTTGAAGCCAGAAGCTTAAAGGAGTACAATAAATCATCTTCCTACTTTGTAATTAAAAGGATTACCTTTTATATTCCATAAAGTAATCACTATATACCATAGAAAGTCTATTCATATATGGGGGTATGAGTGAGTTGGTTATAATAATCCCCCCCCTTTTTTTTTTTTTTGGTTAACAATTCTCAAAGCACTTTTATTATCCATTATCTTATTTGATCTCCCCAACATCCTGCTAGGCGACAAGTCCCCATTTTATACTTAGAGAGCTGGGCCGCAGAGGGGCTAGGATTGCTGAAAGACCTTCAGCTACCCCAGTCTGTGCCCGTGGGCCTGGAGCACCCACCCTGAGGCCCTGAGCCTTCAGACCCTTGCTGGGTCGGAGACGCTGATCTTTCCTCACAAGCCTGGGTGAGCTCAAGTGAACTCTGACTCACTAAGGGTTAAGCCACATAAACTCTTTTATGAGTAGTAACCATTTACTGTGCCCTGTAAAAAATGGGCCCCTCACCATGCTGGCTGCTTTCCCTAGGAAAGGGGGTACGAGCAGGGAGCAGTGCTCCTGGACGCAGGCAGGCCAGCCTCTTGGGAGCCAGGTGGTGACGGGGTACCTGCAGCCTGGTAGTGACTTTTTGGGCTGGGTTCTAGATGGATCCAGAGGGTGGTGATGAGAACAGCACTGTGCCCTGAGTAAAAAGGCTTGTGGGCTTTGGTCACCAGCAGGGAAGAGGCTCACACCGTTCTGTGACATTCACTGACATCTTTCTCACTACCTGCTAAACTCGCTGTGCACACGAGTTCATCTTATCCTCCGGCACTGTGGGTTGGGGGTGAGTCTCACTTTACAGAAAGTTGTTGGCCCACCAGACTTGGAACCTGCTCTAGGTCACACTTAGCAAGCAGGGAGCTGGGGTCTGAGCTCACATCTCCTTTATGCCAAAATGGGGGTACTTAGCTCTCACCCCATTCTGCCTCTGGTTGGAGGAAGATGTAAAAAGAAGCCATGAGATAGCTGAAGAGGCAGACCCTACTTGGCCTGGGCAGGTCTCGCTTCCTTAGAAATGGCCACTTTGAAACAGCCCTGCAGGCAAATCCTTGTGGAAGAATTTCAGGAAAGGCTTTGCATCCCCTGCACCCCTACACCTCTGCAACTCTCTGCTCCCCACTCCCCCCCCCACACCCCCGCCCCCCAAGCCTGGAAACCCAGTTCCGCCAAGCAGAAGGGCTGGGCTCTGAGCTTCAGCCCTCTCAGAGTTAAACAGTAACCTTTCTACCGCTTGTGGTTGAACAAATTGGGAGGAACATGCCCAGCCTTGAGCAAACAGGAGACCGGCCATGCCCTCCCTCCCTCCCCCCTGCCTTGAGGTTTTTGTCTGAAGTCCCCCATCTGAGTTTCTAACTTAGGGAAATTGCTCTAGAAAGCCAAATGGGAAAAAAGCCCAGTGATTGTGAAAAAAGGAAGGTCTGACTTGTATTGGTTGTCCTCTGAGGGTGAGACTCAAGGAAGTTTCTGGAAAGAAATGTGGTCACTGTCTTTAAATTTGTGCATGGGGAAACTGAGGCCCAAGTTTCCTTGAGGTCAAGGAAACTTGGCCCAAGGAAACTTGGGGAAATTGGTTCAAGTTTTCCAGAGGTGGTAACTCTCCTTATGCTAAGATCTGCCATGTAGTCATGCCCTGCTTTGTGCCAAGTGCTGGAGGTATAGAAACTCACTTAATCTCCAACCAGCACAAGGTAGGTATGATGATCTGTATTGTCTGATGAGAAAGCTTGAGGTTCAGGGAGGTTCATGACATATCCGAGTTAGGCCTAACCTTAGTACCTCGAATCCACCTCAGCTCTTTTAAGCTTTGAAACTCTTTCCACCATATAGAATCCAGCTCTCCCCTTTCCACCGGCGTGATCCCTCACTATACAACACTCTTCATCCCCATGCTCTCTTCCCTTCTCTGTCTTCCACTTAGGCTGGATTCAGTCCTAATGATTTGCCTACTAACCACAATGGTGTTAATTATCATCATAAATGCTCCTGTCTAGCCCAGTTCAACTCGTAATCACCTGTGCTCTAGCATAGTGCCCCACCTAGTAGAGAGCTGATAAAAATGTGTTGAATCTGTGAAGACATGAACACATGTTCATGCCTTTCCCAGACCCCTTGTCTCTCTTCTCAGTCCCTACACAGAATCAAAGGACCAGTAGCTAAATTAGAGGGAGGGGTGCTGAGGATGGCAACTGCTCTGGTGAACAATTTCAATCTTGGGGACAAGCGGGAAACTCAAGGATGCAAGATTTCCTGAAGCAGGCAGAAAACTCCATCATCTGTTGTTAAGAAACTAGGCTTCTCTCCCCGCCTCCACATTTTAGAAAGAGCAACTTACTTTTGGAGATCTGGGGTAAATATTCAGTTGCTTTCTGGAAACAAGTTACTTTTCTTTGGAATGACTGAGCCCCATTCTGGGGCTGCAGGCTGAGAGGTGGAGGCTACCCAGTGAGAGCACTGCAGGTACCAGAGGATCAAGGAGAATATTTTAAAGGGTAGAATGTTTGCATTATTTAAAAACTCCGAACAGGCTCACAAAAGAGTGACTCTGCTCTTGGGTCCTTTACGGAAAAAAACAATTCTCAGACTGACAAAGTCCCCTTGACGTCAACTTCGAAGCTTCCAGGTGTCTCAAGGAGAAGGGAAAGCCAGTCAGGATGCTGACCAGGGAGGATGGGAAGAGGCAGTGTCCCGTCTGAGAAACCAGTGGACTCCTGATTATTTTCACGGAGCCCTGCTTACATGTGGCAGTGGCCCTCTGAGACCAGCCTGCCCACGGTGCTCTCTGCTCTGAGGAAACTTGCCGGGTTCTGGGTGTGGGGCTGCTCGGCGGCTGTGTGGGGACACCCTGATGACTGATTTCCGGTTGGGGGTCCCAGGTAGGGACACTTCTGCGCTACCACGGGCTTCCATTTTCAGTGATCCAATTCCACCTTAAATAAAAGATTTAGGCATTTTCATGTCTGTAAAAAGAAAGGAGAAAAGAAAAATAATAATGAAACTTGGATGTTGGCCAGGTTCGCCCTGGGAGCAGGTATTGCGTTTTCTTCCCGCTCCGTTCCCAATCAGAGATTATTCATTTATGAATGGGTGACTGTAAAAACTTGCCTCATGCATATGAAAATTGAACCTGGAAATTGTTAATTGCCAGTGCACTTTGCTTTTACTGTAAGGGCTGTGGCAACATGTTTTGGGGCAATGGTTGGAAAGACGAATTTTTGTGTTTCCTAAGTTAACCCTGTCATCTCTACTCTCCAGTGACATTTGCCCAGAGCACTGACTAACTGGGCTATTTGATCTCCCTGCAGATCATGATTCTGGAAAGCGGTGGTGTAATGAATCTCAACCCCAGCAACAACCTCCTCCACCAGCAGCCAGCCTGGACAGACAGCTACCCTGCATGCACCGGTAAGGGCCCAAGTGAGTCTGGGTCTCTCTCCAGGGGCTTCTTCCTTGACTTTAATTAGGCTTCACTGACCAATTTAAGGATGGAGAAAACACAGGTTTTATTGGACAGGGGAAAGGTTAAGTTCTTCATGCTAGAATTGTCTACAGGTCATAGGGCTCCAGACACCCATTTGAGATGCTCCATTGTGTCATCCCAGTATTCAAAGTTTTGAGTTGGCAGCCTGGTGGCAAGAATGGTAGGAGAGATGGGCAAAGGGAGACCACCTGCTGAAGCTTTTAGCAGTGTTCGATGGGGAAATCAAGATAGAAGATAAAGGTGTCCATGTATGTATGTATGTGTAGCATGGAAGTTGACAAGGGGCGAGTTATAGCAACTTAAATGTTCTATTTCATTTTCCAGTGACTCCCTCTGTATGGGTAAAGGAGACTTATTAGGGGAAACCAGATGCCTTTCTTTGACTAGTTGGCCGCCTAATTATGAGATCAGGTGCGGTAATCTAGAATCTATTGATTAGAAGTGGGAGGGCCTGGCTTTGGGGCTTATAAAGGGCTTGGTGATCAAACCCATGGCTTACTGTAGAAGTTGAACTGAGTAAAGTTGTTGCTGAATCAGGGCTCCACACCCTGCTGGGATCAGGCAGATTGCTGTGCTTGAAGCGACAGTGGGCTTAAGAAGCTGGGCCTCCCAGCCTCATCTGGCTGCCTGTTACCTCACAAGAGACTTTCCTTGCTCCCCTCGGCCTTATGGTGACAGCAGGCAGGCGCAAGAGTGGGTAGATGATGGCTGGGTTATAACCTCCAACAAGAGCTGGTTCCTGTGCCTCTCCACATTTTTCAATTTGGAACCAAATTCAAGCCAGCCAAAAGCATGTTTGAAAGTGTGAGCAGATGATGATCTGTTATTGGATCATCTCTCCCACCAAAGTGCTGCCCTTTTTGGGCAGTGACACTCAGTTGTAGGCCTCAGTTTCTCTGTAGGAACTTCAAAGGAGGATTCCAACTAGGGCAGGGAGCTTCTTCTGAATGAAAGATGCTGCCATCCCCAGGTCCTTAGGCCCCTGGTTACGGCAGCATAAATGTAAGGGTCACTTTTCCTTCCAGAGGCCCTCAAGCTCCTGGTCATGAGCAGCAGGGTGCTAGATGCCATGTCCAGTGCTCCTCCTTGGACTTCTGACCAATCTCCTGACCTTCAGGAGAATTCCCAAGTCAACTTTAGACAAAAGTCTCTAGTTCTAAATCCTGAGACAGCACCGCAAGGAACTATCCTTCAATACAGGTCATACAAGTTGAGGGGAAAGGTTATACCAGGTCTGGTGTTGGATTATTTAGAATTGTTGCTTCTTATTTGCAAACCCAGGGTTGTATGGTTATTGTGACATGATTATTTTAGAAAAAAGATTGAAGCCTGGGGAGTTGCAAAAAAATATAACAAATCTTTAGACACCAAAAAATTGGGGGAAATGGAAGAACCTTGTCTAAGTTCGTGAACTTGTATTTTAAGGAATATTTCTATGTAATTAAATTTTGGAATGGATTTGTCTAAGCCTTGCTCCCCTTCCTAGTTTCTGGCTTAGGTCTGGTCATGAGACAGAAGGGTCAAGCACATATTATGAATGGCAGGTACAAATGAGGCAGTCACCTTCCCCCTATATGACCTTGACCTGCTTCTGGTGTGTCTAAGGTCTGGAAGCAATCAATAGCTTGTGTGTGTTTGTGTGTGTGTGTGGTATGAACAAAAGTAGAATTGGGTAAAATATTCCCCCATCATCTTCACCTTCTTGGTGTTGATGGCTAGGCCATGAGAGTTGTGGAAATCTAACCTTTTGGGACTCTGGCTCTTTGCCACAGAAACTGTATCCACTGACCTGGCACAAAATCATCATGTGGAAGCTTGTCAGGAATGCAGAAACTCAGGCCTCACCTCAGATTTAGGGAATCAGAATCTGCATTTGAACAGCATTCCCTGGTGATTCATAATCACCTTAGAATTTGAGAAATACTGATCCAGTGTGACCTTGAAGAAAAGTTAGGGGCAGTTTTCTTGTGCTACCTTCTCTTCCACTAATCCACCTTCAAGTCTGGGTATATCTAGGTGTCCTATTCAGCTGGATTTTGTTCCTTGAGCTTGGTGGATGGCAAAAGTGCCTTTCCTTTTACCCCTGTCTCTTATCATTCCTGGAAGATTGTGCTTCTCTTGATTTCTGTTTCGAAGCCACGTATGAGCTTCTAGCCCTATTATTTGCCCCCAGAACTTGGCTTTCTGTTTTCCATCCCCTCAGGTCTTTGGATTATTTGTGAGGTTTCCTGATATGAGTGCAAGAGAGTCACATACATAGATGTTAAGCTCACTAATAGTTTTTGATTTGAAGGATCAATATTGATTTGAAGGATTCCTAAGCTATTTTTCTTTTAACAACAGAGTCTACTAAATAAATATATAAAGATCACTTAGGATGGCAAAGTCTCTCATGTAGTTTATAGAGGTAATCCAAAGATGCGTGCAACAGAATCCATGACCATGAGCAGATACTGTTCAAAGTAGAATAGGTTGTCACTTAGAGACCTGTCAGGAGAAGCAGAGCATGACAAAAGCCATTAGGGAGAAGACCAAGTGTATTCTTGAACATGTGAGAGTCCTCAGAGTAGGTTGGGGAACCTGTGATGGCTTTATGGGGTGTAGAGTCTGCAAGCTGGGTAGGACTTCAGGGAATGATTTGGTGAAATAGAAACTGAAAGAATACCATATAGAAAAAAGACAAAAATCACGGGTCACTGAACAAATAGCTCAGTGCTTGGCTTGGTAGGTTTTAATTTAGCTTTTTTGAATCTAATTCAGGGGGAGTAACTGGTGGTAACTTAGTAGGGAATGGCATGACAGTAGAAACCAATGTGGTGGTGTATCAGCATAATTAGCAAATAGATAATCTGGCCACTGAGAAGCCAAGGAATGAGAGGCAAACAACACTTAATTTCAGTGGAATGGTGGAACAATGACAAGCTTTCTCCTGACTTCCTTAAGAGCTGGCTACAAAGAGGAGAGTCTCTGTATCCAGCAGCGTTCCTTATCAGGGATGACAAAAGTTGGACACCCTCAAAGTGCTATTTCCTGAGATAGAGACGTAGAAGGGGCTGCCAGTTACTTATGATTTCTAGATTCATTTTTTGGTTAAACTTTAAATTATGTGTGTGTTTGTGTATGTGTGTGTCAGGGAGGGAGACAGAGCGAGGGAAAGAGAAGAGAGAAATAACTATTTGGGTGTGGACAGTAAGCTTGTAAATTGCTGAAGCTTTCATGATATTTTGGGGGTGGGTGGGAGTGAGCTCATGAACATAAAAGCATTTCAGCCTCCTGTCCTCATCCAGCACCCAGGGTGAAGTACCACGGAGGCCATGAAGATGCACACAGGCTAAATAAGCATTCCTCTTCCCCCACCATGGTGGGAAAAGAACCATCTCCTTCTCAGAGATGGGTGATGACCCCATGACCCTGTCTCATGCTCCAGCCCCCACACTGATGCCCAGGGACTGTGGTCCTGTTCCCCATGACATCTGGCAGCCAGCGAGCATCCCCTGCCCAGAAACAACTATGCTTCACTCATGGGGATGTCTCCTGTTTTACAGTTTCCAGTGGTTTTTTTGGAAGCCAGTGGCATGAAATCCATCCTCAGTACTGGACCAAGTACCAGGTGTGGGAATGGCTCCAGCACCTCCTGGACACCAACCAGTTGGATGCCAGCTGCATCCCTTTCCAGGAGTTTGACATCAATGGCGAACACCTCTGCAGCATGAACTTGCAGGAGTTCACCCGGGCGGCAGGCACCGCGGGTCAGGTCCTTTACAGCAACCTGCAGCATCTCAAGTGGAACGGTGAATATCGCTCTCCTTATTTACCAGGAGCTGGCTAGAAGGGGGAGACACAGCAGCCAGCAAGGTTCCTTGTCAGGGATGACAAAAGTTGGATACCCCCAAATTACTATTTCCTGAGAAAGGGAAGTAGAAGGGATGTGAAAGAAAAGGTGTGAATGAGTTTAGGGTGTGAGGTGTGTCTAATTGCTTATAATCACCATTGTAACTTAATTCTCTTCTAGTGGTTAATTTTCAAGCTGACGAGGGGTTAGCTCGGCAGTCATAGAATACTTGCTACTCTCAGAAAATCTTTCCCTTTAAAATGCTTGTTAAGATCATCATGGGTTTTTTTGTTTGTTTTTCTAACTTCTAGACCTAGGTTCTTGCAATAGGGCCTAAGGGTGTTAGAATATATGCCAGATTAGATCCATGTGGGTGTTGGGAGGGAGAAGGATCATAGCAGATTTTCAAAGTTCTGTGACCCCCAAATGGGACTATAACTAACAGTCTGGACATATGTAGGGTATTTCTGCAATGATTCTGGAATGGGTGCTGTCCTAGAATCCCAGATGTCTTGGGGCCTCACCTACCATACCAGCCACTGTTCTAGACACTGTCCATTGTTGTCAACTTATTCACATACACTACACACACATTCTATGCTGGCTTGTAGACATAGTAGGGTACGTGGGAACTTCCCTGCCCACATCATACCAGCTTTGTCTTTGATAGCAGAACTGTGTTTGGGCAGGTACTTGGGTCTTCAGGAATAGACAATCCAAGTCTGTGAACCGGATTCAGAACCTGAGGGGGGCTATCAACACAGAGGAGGGCCCACCCTAGCTGGAACAAGCAGCCAGCGGCAGCCATTTTGGATGACATCATGCAGCTCCCGACACTCCCTTCTTCCCACTCACCTCACAGGGGTGGTTGCTCATTTTTCTTTTACTAGAACCAAACCAAACAAGGCCCTATAAATAACCCCCAGGAATCTTCAGAAAGAGCAGACTTACACTTGAAGAATTAAAAATATTTGCATCCCCACCTCCAATTAAATCCACTCCTTTAAAGCTTTGCCCTGATTGAAGCCTGAGGTTGGGAGGCTTGGGAGGTGCTGTGACCATCTTTGACCTTCCATGACTCGTTTGCCCCTACTGCATGCTGCAGTTGTTTCAGTGCCTAATGCCTGGATTTCTCACTTTATCTTGAGTAGCTGTTCCATTAATTTACAGTTATGAACTTACACTAAGTATGCTAAATGAATTGATTCATTAATGATCTTATGAGAAAATAAATATTGTACCCATCTTATAGTTGGGAAAATTGAAGGTCAAGAGATGTCTGCTCCTGAAATATTCACAATCTGACCGGGGAGGAAGAACATGCTAAGCTCTTTTAAATGTATATGTGTGGCTCTACTTAGGATACATCTAGAAAAGAGTTGCAAGGCATAAACAAGGGACTCAGCTGATTTATGAAGACATCTCTCATAGACTAGATCTGATCAAGATGGGTTTGATGAAATTTAACATCAAAGAAGAACGAAGCTAGTTAAATTAAGCTGGTTTTCTTATAGTTTCTTTTTCATCTTTCATAATATTTTAGTATGAGAAAGCACCTTAGAACCTCTTTAATGACTGTATTTAATTAGATTCACCTACATGTACAGATAAGCGAATCAAGACTCCGAAGGTGAAGTACCTTGCAATTCTTAGTGGAGGACTCATCTTCTTTCTGAAGTTCTGTTTTGACCCTGTAAGACGCCTTCTCCACACAGTGCCAAATAATTTCACACCTGGCTTGGGGCTCCAGGTGTGAGTTTGTAGATGCTGAGAGGGAAGCCCTCTCACATTAACCAACAGTGGTGATCAGGCAGTGGGAGGGGCAGAAGTTCTTCCAAGAAACCAGTCCTGTCCTTATTTAAGCATCAACTTTTGGCTTCATCTCAGCTCACTCTACTTTCTCAATCCACCTTTCACAGGCCAGTGCAGCAGTGACCTATTCCAGTCCACGCATAATGTCATAGTCAAGACTGAACAAACTGGTGAGTAGTAGCAGAGAAGAGAGTCAATTTGACGGGCTGAGCTCTGGAGAGGATGATCCATGGCAAGTGTAGGGAGAGTGTAGGAGCAGGATAAAGCTAGAAAATCCAAGAAGGCCTCTTTTCTTATGGTCTCTATTGGGCTACTTCCTCCTGAGACTCATTCCCTGCCCTTGGAACTAGTGACTACCAACTATTTTTGATTTCTAGATGGATGGTGAGCCTAGTGTTGCCTTCTTTCTTTGCTTCCCACCACTAGCAAAGCCATTGTCTAGGGTCTTGTCCACAAACTAGGAAAAATGCCGAATCCCACTGTAACTCTTTCTCACCATGAAGACAACAGGGGATTGAACTTAGCCAAATTAGGAGAAGCAAGGAGAGAGAAGAGAAAGGGAGACGAGAAGAACTTGCTATTGGAATTCTCATAGATTCTGGGAACTTTGGAGCTTCTGTGGGGATGTCCAAAGGCAGTTACAGAACCCAGCTCCTACCTTGTGTGTTTTTAGCAAAGGACACTATTCTGGGTTTGAGTAGGGTAATCAGTTACACAGGTGCTTTCTTTCAGTCACTTGGATTTGCAGGGGCCATGGGTGGTGGTGATTCAGCAACTGCCCTGGGGCCTTGTACCAATCAAAACTCTTTGCATATTTACCTTGGCCTATGGCATCTCAGCCTAGGGGGAATATGCAAGACCCCAAAGCCAACTGGCCATGGTAAAACCATGCAGCTGCCACTGCTCCAGGCCCCTCTCTACACCCACGCCAAGGGGATTGTGAACCATGTCGGGTGACCACATTAGCCACAGGCCTCTCTGAGAACTGTGTGCCAGTCACCAAGGACAGAGTTTGATCTAGAGGTGATTTGTGAATCACTCAGGCCAAAATTGGCCCCATGCAGTTATTTAATCTTTTATAAGGGGGCTAGTTTACAATTATTAAGGGGAAAATCAATAGCTGCTAAGCATATTAGGTTTTCCTAGCTCTGCCATTCTCCCCAAAGACCAGGTTTAAGTTACCTGGATGGTTTGTGGTTATGGGTCAAACTCCACTAGAGGTGGACATGGTCTTGGCTCAGAGGGGAATGTCCCCCACCCCCTCCATGACTCAACAGAGAGCCCCACTGGAGGAGCCAGGGTGGTATTGGAGAGGTCCCAAATAACTTGATAATTCCTCCTTGACCATCCAGACATTCTTGTGTGGCCAGTTCAGTAAAGCTGAGCCGAAGGGTGGAGGTGAAGGTCCACCCTGGGAGGAGGGAGTAGAGGCTCACAGAGGGGCCAACACCCCCAAACCTTTTTGGTTCAGTTTGTTTTCAGAGACAACAACAGGTGTACGAGGTGACCCAACAAGAGAAAGGGTGTAACCCCAAGAGACTGGGCTTGGGGTGCCCAAACACGTAGCTATTAGTTAAAATACCAGCTAAATCCCTATGTCGTAAACAGGAGGACTTAGCCAGTGAGTCAGGTTTTATACAATTTATCTGTAAAAACAAAATGCAACTTGGCCAGTAACTTACCACCCAGGCCCTGACATTTGGAACCTGGGCAGGAGGGGAGCTGAGGGCAGCTTCACTCTGTGAAGAGGAGAAAGCAGGAAGTTCCTGCTGGGGACGAGGTGTGAGTGCCTGCCAGATCTTACAGCTCTTGGCCAGCAGGGACAAAATTGCTGCTGTTGGAGACCAGCCCAGATCTGGGGGTTGTGTAGGAGTTAAGCTGCATTTGGGGTAGGTGGTGGGGAGTTTCCTTAGGATCTGAGATCTGACGAGTCAATCAGCATGAGATGTACTTACACAGGGAAGGGGTTGGGGGAGGGGGATTGATTTTCTTCTTGAAGATGAGGTAGTAAGGCCTGATTCCTAAAAGTTATTTGTTCATTTAGTAACTCTCTCCTCCCCTTCTCCTGACTTGTTTTGGGGATTTTGTTTTACTTCTAAGCTAATGGAGTAGCTCTGAAGGGAGGAGACTCTTAGCTTGAGGAGAGAGTATCTCTCTGCGAAGGTGCTGAGATAAGATGGACAAGAAGTTTTCTGAAAAAGGAAATGATGCGCATTAATGATGGATTTATTTATCCTTAAGAAAGTAGGCTTTTTCTAGTATAATCATACTAAACTGTTTTTCAGTAGAATGCAAGACAATGCCAAATTCCTGAACCCACCCCTTGCCCAATGTGGGTAGAAACTTCCTGAGGAGACAAATGCATTGGTCTAGGACAGGGCCCTGACTTGCTTACAAATGTAACAGGTGCAGAGCCCATGGCTGGGCCTTAGCAAAGCCTGTTTTCCTCATAACATTGGAAGAAAAATGGGGTAACATTATAAAGAAACAGGTGGCTGAAGCAGAATTTTAGTCCTTCTTTTGGCGCCTTCCTTACTCCATCTTTTGATGAACACTATTTAGAAAAAGCAAAGTCTTTACCCAGGGGCAAAGATGGCTGACTATTCCCATTTTCTGTCCTTTGTAGAACCTTCCATCATGAACACCTGGAAAGAAGAAAACTATTTATACGACACCAACTATGGTAGCACAGTAGGTAACTAAATCCCAAACACTTAAGGTCTTTTCCATTCTGATTCTGTCGAATAGCCATGAAGTTTTATTGTAAGGAGGGGTTTTTTACTGTCTTTTATCTTTTCATTGTATAGATTTGTTGGATAGCAAAACTTTCTGCCGGGCCCAGATCTCCATGACAACCGCTGGTCACCTTCCAGTTGGTGAGTTGCCCTGACCTCTGGGATTGAGTGTGCCACAGGCAGGTACTTACTGAGAGCTGATGAAAATGACCCACAGCCTAAGGTGTGCCTTTGCTGGTGGCCTTCTGAGGAGCGGAGTTTTTAATATAGGTCTGCTTCTGAGCCAATAGTTGTAAACTCAGAATGACTGGCCCGGATGACTCTAGACCAAATGTTTGTATCATATAAAACTAAGTCATCCTCTTATGATAACAAAAATGTTCTTTTCAGAAAAAATTTGCTCTTGGGAAATGATCTGATAAGGTTTTTCATACTTGAGTAGAAGGGAGAAGGTGATATCTAATGTTTTTTTTAAGGATTTATTTATTTATTCATACAGAACTGGGGTACAAGCCAGAGATGCGGAGGCTGAGAGGATTCACCAGAGACAGAGTGGGGAGCAGAACAGGCAGATTGACGAAGTACACTGCTGAGGGGAGCAGCGGGCGGGTCAGGAGAGGTCTGCCACACCATGTGGTCACCTCCGGGGCAGGCGGGATGGAACTCATGCAGAAGTGGCTTTAGCTTCTTAGTGCTGTGCTTTAACCCGCTGCGCACCAGGGAGGACCAGCGATATCTAATTTTTAACAAACTATATTTGGTTTTAGAGGAAAATGTCAAATAGGCATTTCAAAGGTCAGTGAACCTATGGTAACAGAAGGTCTTTGGGTAGAGGGGAAGCAATTGGAAATTTCCAGAACTTGGGAATCGCATGATTTTGTCAGTCTGATCCTGATGACGCCTCAGGACTCTCCATCCATCACACTGCCTGCACTTTGAATCAGGCTCCTGTCAGTTGCATTTGGTGGAGTGAATGTGACTGGGGATATCCGGGTCTCTCAGTCGAGGCTGAGTTACAGGCTGTCTGATGGGAGTATAGAAAAGGCTTTCATAGGATAGTCCTCAGTATCCTCCTAAATAGGTATATAATCATGAGCCATCTGGAAATGAGGACACTGGAGAGGTTTGTATTGTGTCTTCATCTGGATACATATTTGTGGATCTATTTGGGTCCATGAAATGGAGCTTGTTCCTGTCATAAATGAATTTCTCATTTCTTGGAACTGAATTTGGGACAACTTCAGAACTGGGATTTAAATCATATAGTTAAACAGCAATCTTTCCGAACTTTTTCTCTTCTTTGCGCTTTTCTTTTTCTTTTTTAAATTGTCTTTGAGAGTGTGTTTTTGAGAAGTGAAATAATGAAAGCCTTTGGTTTGAGGTTTTTATCAGGTCAAGCCCCTTGAATGAGACATGGCTGGGAGCCAGTGTAAATGCTTCTGGAATTAAGGTTAATAACTGAGACTGATTCATTTCTCTACTTCCCCCACCTCCAGAGGCCCATAGCTTTATGTGTCAACTAAGTATTTGTTGAAATTAGGAAATCAAATACTGGAGAGGCTTCACAGTGTATTTGCCATTCTGGGAGAATTTTACAAAATTGGGGTATAACTTCTGTGGCAGCTACTGCTACCCAATCATGAGCAAAGATTTCAAAGCTGAGGAAACCACCTCTGTCATCCCACGACTCCTTTTCCCACTTCCTAAGGTGTTGCCAGCCCATCGATCTGGTCTTGGGCTATGGTACAAGATTCCAACTAAGAATAAAGTTGAACCAACCACTTCCTGAGCCTCAGGGGTTGTTAGGTCTTGATGCAGCTGGGAGACCTAAACATCATGACCCCAGTTCTACTGCCCTCACAGCTGGGCCTCTCTTCCCTATTCTGTGTCCCGATGACCTTCTAGAATTGCAGACCCAATGAAGGGCCAGTTTCTGCTTTCATATTTGCAGTAATACGGGACTTATTATCTCCTGAGTCAGCCTATCCTGTTTTTGAAGAGTTCTTAAACTTATTTTTGCGTTTACAAATCTGCTTGCCTCCACCTTCCCTAGTCCTTGTTTTTGTACCTTTCCACCTCCATTCCCCATTTCTATCCTGCAATTATATCCTGCAACTATATCACAGGCTGGAAAATGAGATAAGCAACCCAGATCCTCTATCAGAATTATTGCTTAAAGAATCAAGTCAGTATCAGAGATTGTTAAATTCTTCACAGCTCTCCACTGGCATAGATAATGAAAGCCTTTTCATGAGTCACTTCCTTTCAGAATAATTACTCTCTACTGGATGGGATCAGAAACCCTCCCCTCAACCCTCTCCCCCTCAACCCCCCCAAGATATTGGTCATTTATCTGAGTCTTTAGGTTTCAAGCTCCCATTAAAGAGTGCAGTTAAATATCTTTCTATGTTTTAATTCATGTTACAAGCTGAGCCAAGGTGAGGCCCAACATAAACTGATGCCCTCTGTGATAAACACAGGTGGGGAAGCGGGCTTTGTTTTGATTTCTCTGTCATCTGCCCATTTCATAAAATGGCCGCCGTCAGTGTTCCTGATCTGCCCGATAGTCCTCAAGCCAATCACGCCAACTCAGGCTTGATGTGTTTATTCACTGACTTGTTGAGCCTAAAGCTAGGGTGGCACAGTCTATTATAACACTGAAATTTGTATATCCCGTAAAGAAATGGCTCACAGCTGAATCATATGCAAATGCTTCTAATCTTCGCTTCTTGTGAAGCAGCTTAGCTGAAGTCAGACTCTGGAACCTGCATCATAAACCTGTGGCTTTTTGTTGCCCATGCCCGGACCAGACCTTGGCCTGAGGTGCCTCTGGAGCAGGGCAAGAGAAAGCCAAGCTGGACAACTTCCCCAGAGCAAGCCATTATTTTATGAGTGAATCACTTAACCACATGGCTAACTTCAAAGGTTTTGACTTTTAGTTTGGGGTAAGGGGAAGACAGAGGGGGGAGAGGCTATCATATTAAAGTGAGGTTTCAGATCAAAAGCTTTTGGAGCTGAGGCAGTCAGTCATTCCATAGCTTGGTCCTGAATGCTGGGGACCAGGAGAGGGGGCCAGAAAAAAAAAATCTCAGTTTTCTTTTGATGGAAATATTTGTTGGTTTGGTCTTCACTCAGCTGGAAGGAAGTCTAGCTCAGGTAAATGGTTGACACCTCACAGATATAATTCGCTCATAGTCTCTCTGGTAAGGTTTTTTAATCTAAGTGAGTCACAGCCCCGTGAAATTGTTTACAGTCTTGCAAATTGTTTACAGTCTTGCAAATTGTTTACAGTCTTATACACCCGTGTGCATTTTTCCAGGGAGAGGGTCCAAGGTTTTCAACTTATTCACAAAGGTAATTGATTCTAAGTCAGCTTAGCATCCATAAACAATGTCTGAGGCCAAACAGTGGAGGGTTTCTCTGACTTCAACCCTGGCTCTGAAATAATGGCTCTGCATCCCTCCTGGAAGCCATTGGTAAATGAGCTTTGCTTGTGGCCTGCTGGGTAAATGCCACTCTTTGTCTGCAGAACAACGTGGCCCTGTCAGAGTGATGTATCACTTGGAAACCGGGGTGGGTGCCAGGCCTGTCGCAATATTGTCACATCCTGATGGGATGTTGCAACCTCACCCTGAAACCTGCAGGGAGGGAAAGTGGAGTCTCCTTGTGTTTCCTGTGAATTTGTCCTTTTAGATTTCAGAGAAACCCAAGTCAGGTGCAGGCCCTCCTGCTGACAGTACCAAGGGAGGAGCTCACACCCAGAATGGAAAGCTGCTTTTCTGACTAGGTCTTACTAAATCCCTGTTCTCCATTTGCCATGGCCTTGGGAGAAACTGCTGGACAAGCTGAGTGACGAGACTAGCAAGTGGGTTCATGCATGCTGGAATACAGAGCCATCCGACTGGAATGACTTTCCCCACTGAACAACCGTAGACCTGAACCTGACACTTGGCAGGGAAGGTGTTTGTAAAATCCGTCGTGTGCCACCATCTTTGGACACAGCCTGGGACAGTGGCGATGAGTAAAGCTTCTGGGTGCAAGCTGTTTGTGTCCACACCCTGGTGTACTGTACAGGCTGTGTTACTTTAGACAAGTCATTTGACCTCTCTGTCTCAGCTCCTCACTATAAATTGTGGACCATAAAGTGTCCACCTCGTAGGCTTATTGTGTGAATCGAATAAGGTGATTCATGTACAGCATTTAGCATAGCACCTGGTTCTCCACACACAGGAGCTTTCTTCTTCACTATTTTAATTAGGAATTAATGGCTACTCAAACTTTCTGAATAATGGGCCACACTTGACAATAGATTGAGTACTATGTGCTTTGACATGTGCTTTGGGTCAGTCCAAAATGTCCTTGAAGAACCCGTGGAGGTCATGAACTCTTTGTGAGAAAGCCCTGGCATACATGGAAGAGATGTGCCTACATAACTTTCTTCTATCTTTTTCTTTTCTTTTAAAGGATTTATTTATTTATGTATACAAGAACTGGGCTACAAGCCAGTGTGTGGGGGTGGTGGTGAGAGGATTCACCAGAGACAGAATGGGGAGCAGAACAGGCAGATCCACTGAAATGCTCTGCTGAGGGGAGCAGCGGGTAAGACAGGAGAGGTCTGCGGTGCCATGTGGGTCAGCTCCCTGGCCAGGGATGGAACTCATGCTGCCGTGGCTTCATATAGCTTGAGAGTGCTGAGCTTTAACTTGTTGCGCCACCAGAGAGGCCCCTTAATTGCTTATGTTTAGGGACCACTTGGTGTTAACATTGAAGGATTTGAGATTGTAGGGTTTTTCTGGGGAACAGTGTTCAGCTTCGGTTCTCCCTATAACCCAAGTGCCCATTCACATACGTACACGTACATATGCACCTTACTAGAACTTTTAGTTTTGTTTTCAAGAAGTTTTATTTCATTGCTTCATCATTTGCTTTTTTAACAAGAAGCATAGATCTGCTTCTGTCATCTCTTTGGTGATAATCACAAGGGTTGCCATAATGAGTCATTTGTTAACCTAATCTGTGTTTCCATAATCCACCATGGCCCTCTATACTGACTCAGGTCAGTCAATGGCCTCTTTGTCAGGCTGATTAAAATGTAACTTGCATGCCAAAAAAAGACACTCCTCAGGCTTAAAAGCCATCATTCTTTGTTATTAATGTTTACATTTTTGCATTATGTAAAAAAAAAAAAAGCCCTTTCAATGACCTAAATACTTTATTGACTTCCATCTTTCTCAGAATAGAAACTCAAATGCTAAAAACATCCCACGAGGCCTTAAAGAGCTGAACCTCAGCTCCTATCCTCTGATTCTTACTCACTGCCATACTGGTTTCCTTGCACAGAGGACATGCCAAGTATACACGGACCTCAGGACCTTTGCACTTACTATTCTTATTCATGGAAGGCTTTTCCAAGTGCTTACTACAGGGCTGTCTCCTTGATATCCTTCTGTTTCCTTATCAGAGAGATCTTCAATGACCACGTCATATTATATTGTAGATCATTCTCATACCCCATCCTTCTATCCCCTACAAGGCATTTTTCTATAGGACTCTTTTGCCACATACCTGACCAAGGCCAGACATGTGCTCAATAAATGTTGGTTAAGAGAGTGGATAAATGAATAAAAATAATAACAGCAGGATATTGATAAATTAATTGGCTCTTGTTTTTCTCTCTAGTAGAATCCCCTGATATGAAGAAGGAACAGGACCACCCCACAAAATCCCACACCAAAAAGCACAGTAAGTTATTGACTTTGAGAAGCCTCTTGACTCTTTCCTTCAAGTTGGGCATCACTGAAGGCCACTGCTTTTTTGAAAATATCACTTTTGCCTGCTGCCTTCATTTTTCTTCTTCAGGTTGACTAAGATGAGAAAATAGAGATGTCAGTTGCTCAAAGTAAATCCCTCTGCAGTGAGGTCTTATCAATATTTCCTTTTCATTCTGTTTGTTCTAAAACCGAGATATCTGATTACTAAGCACTCAAAGGCATGGGGTCAGTGATTTCCTTCTTCCCAAAAAAAGCTGTTGGAAGAAACAGCTAAGATAGAATTTTGTCTTTTACTAAATGCTGTCTTCCTACCTATGTGGAGTTATTATTCCGTGGAGCTACTCCTAGTCATTCACAGAGTTAATATAATCCTTTAAATGGCTGGGGCCACGGGGAAGGGGAAGTCACAAGTCCAGTGAGGGTAAAATTGGATTTGGTTGCTAATTTCCACCCAACCACTGCGAGACCTCCTCCCCATATACTCCAGGAGTTAAAATTGTACAGCACAGCACTATTGATGGAAATTGGGCTAAAATATGTTGCTGAGTGGGAGTGATTTAATTAGTTGAGATACTAGTTAAAGTGCTTGAAAGTTGTTCTTTGGGAAGTAAAAAGCTGAAATAAATCATAAGCAGTTCATCAGCATGTACAAGTTATTCCCTTGGATAGGAGGCTTAAGGCCTATCACCTAGTTTTGGGTTTGCTACTTGTTACTTGTGTGACTCTCATCAAATCTGCTCAGTTTGGTCAAGTCAAATTCTTGTGCCTCCATTTCTTGATGTGTAACATAAAAAAAAAAGTGCTAGCTCATTTTCATATAAACCTTTAAAATATATATATATATATATGTATATATATATATTAATATCATATATGTATTAAATACATACCCAGTGTTTGGGAATTCTGTTGTCTGGGTCACTGCTGGGTGGAAAAAGTATTCTAATTCGATGTGTCCTCTGCTTTGCTGTTACTTGGCCATTAGTAAACTCCTTTTTTGATGATTCCCCAGATCCCCGAGGAACTCACTTATGGGAATTCATCCGGGACATCCTTTTGAACCCAGACAAGAATCCAGGGTTGATCAAGTGGGAAGACCGGTCTGAGGGCATCTTCAGGTTCTTGAAATCAGAAGCTGTGGCTCAGCTCTGGGGAAAAAAGAAAAACAACAGCAGCATGACTTATGAGAAACTCAGCCGAGCCATGAGGTGAGGTATTTACAGTCTCCACAATTAATCAGGCCGCCCCCCACCTATGTGTACCCAGCAGTCTTCCTCAATCTGACAGCCTCTCATGAATGTCCTTTATTACAGATATTATTACAAAAGAGAAATTCTGGAACGTGTGGATGGACGAAGACTAGTATATAAATTTGGGAAGAATGCACGCGGGTGGAGAGAAAATGAAAACTAAAGCTACCAAGCCTTTGAACACAGCCCTATTCACCCCAAATAATAACAAACCAAGAACTCCTGGACGTAAATATTTCAAAGACAACTTTTCTCTGATATTTATGTACCACGAGGGGTAAAAATCTACTTCTAACGGGAAGAAGGAACACTACAGTTGAAAAATTATTTTGTTACTTTGAAGTATGTCCTATATGGGGAACACATGTACACAGTTTTCTGTGAACTATGATGTTATATGTGGTTGTGACTTGTTTTGCCTCTATTGTGAAGTTCTTTTCTACTGCAAGAAGAACAGGGTTCGTGGCCTTAGGCTTCTTGCTAAGAGAAAGGAAAACAAAGTCAGAGGGCATTAAATATTTTAATATGCACCATGATTTAGGAGAAGGTGATGTGTCCTCCACACACAGCATCCGCACAGCCTCGTCAAGAGAGAGGAGCACGGTTGCCAGATGCTGGCTCCGGGGTCTCCGGCTGATCGTGGCAACCAGAGGATGCTGGGAACTTTAACCTGATCTCTAGGACCCAGTGAGTGGAGAATGGGGACTTCCAAAATCCAGGGTGGACTGTAATCACTGCATAATCACATGACTTGCAATGTTTGAATCAGTGAGAAGAATAAAGGTGGGGGGCTTTTTATTCATTCAGGAATGATTCACCTGATGCCAAGGTTACTTTTCCCTCTCCCATGGACCATTGGTGAAAAAGTTTCAGTTGCCACCTCTGCAGACATTTGTTATTTAAGAGACGGTGCAGGAGGTCCCCGTGGTTTTGAAACGTGGGAAAAAGGAGGTGGTGATAAGTTTGCTCTGTATCCCAATAGTTTAGGGGTTCCTCATTGGCACACTTGACATTTGTGAGTCATTCTTTGTTGTACATTGTTTGGCTCTCCTGTGTATGGTAGAATGTTTAGCAGAGTCCATGACCTCTGTCCACTAGATGCCAGTAGCATTCCCACCCCCAAAGTTGTGACAATCAAAAATGTCTCCAGATATTGTCAAATGTCCCCTGGGGACCAAAATTGTCCTTGATTGAGAACCACTGATTTAGCCAATCTAGATGCTGATGGTGTTAATCCTCAGAACAAAAAGTGTTGTAAGATTTGTTAGTCCCTAGAGTGAAGTAAAAGAAAGACTTTAAAATCAACCTGCTTTTTCATTTTTTATAAACGTAAGGGAGAATGGGCCCGTTCGGAAAGCTCTGAAAGGGCTTTTCAGAGCCCCAGTCAGAGTTATATATCTGAACACAGTAATACAACAAGGACAATGGCAGAACAATAAAACAGCTCTATTTTCACTAGAGCTAGAAAATCAACATCATATCGCAGAAGGAAGTGCTGGAGGTGAATGTGTGTGTGAGAGTGTATGTGTGTACACGTGTGTGAGTGTGCATGTGTGTGAGTGAGGGGGTGTGAGGTGGGCCGTATTTGTTAATTCTTAGAATTTTCCCTCTGCATCATCTTTTCCCTGTTTCATCTGAAATCATCCAAACTGAAAGGTACATTGCCTAGAGAAAGTTTTGCTGAGAGAAAGAAACGAGGAGAGAGGGGAGGAAAGGAAGAGTAGGAAAAACAAAACAAAAAAATCCAGGAGGTATTGCCGTGATGAACTTAGACCTCTTTTTCGATGATAGGTTTGATCTGGGGGGGCATGTAGACTTGTCACTGGGCCCTGCTACCTCAGAATCATGCAGGTAGAGACTTTGAAAATGGGTTTGTACAGACAGCTCTTTCTTGCAGCCTTATTGCTTGATTCCCCAAGTTTTTGTCTTTTTCCTCCTTCTTCTCTCTATCTTGAGCAAGAACATAGGAATAAAGGCCTGGACCAGAAAGAGACACCTATACCGTGTCTTAGCACTGAGGCTGAGTGAGTCACAGTCAGATGTTCGGAGTATCTGTCATATACCCAGAAGCCTCCAAGTAAAAAGAATTAAGGATTGGCTCTAACTATGAAGAGAAAAATTGTGGATGGTGGCTTGGAAGCACTTGCCTGAGGACAGGAATGACCTTTAGAAGGTACAAACAAGTTCAGTTTTATTTCTGTTTGGCTTGGTCCCCTCCACAGAAGTGTTATTCAGTGTTGTCAGGTAACAGTTACTGAGGGAACTGGGAGAAATAACAATGAGCGACATAGATCTGACTAGGCAACTGAGATATTCTTGCATGAAAGACACACCTTGCTTTCCAAGTAAAGTCAAAGATCTATGGGGCCTTACCACTATTTGAAGTTACTTCACATAGAGCAAATTTAACACTCAGCTATTTTAACTGGGGTAAACACATGAATGTTGGTGTGTCTGAATTGTGTGAAGTTACCTTGACATCTGCTCATTCACTCTGCTGTTTCTTCTCTGGCTTTGCCTGTTCATCATCTGAGGTGGCTAGATTCTTTGGGTTCATCCTTCCCTAAACCTATAAGTTTCTCACATTCTTCCCAGCCTGCCTCGGCTCTTTCTATACTCTTCACGAAATATCACCCCTGCCAAGTAGTATTTGGGTCTGGGGAGTACCAACTGGAGCAGTTCAACAGATAATTAGAAGATTGTGTTATTTGCTGAAAGTGACAGTTACTTGGCACCCAGGTCGTGCTTACATAGGGCTGGAGTATTAAGTTCTCAGCATATCTTTCTATTGTCTTGGCTTGAGCTTGATGCATTTTTTTGTGTGCTGTTCGTGACTTGGAAAACTCCAGGTAACTGAGCCTTGCCAACTTAGGGCGTGAACAGAGTATTTCCCACTGCCGTGTTGAAAGGGAGAGCAAATTCCAGAGACAAGCCAGCCTAAAAGACGAAGCCCCTCTTCTTCAGAGGAGACACAGCTTTTCACTTGAGAATGTGACCTGTGTCAAATCCTCACATGGTCACTTCATTGGGTCTCCTTGAGTCCTCCTGAAGCTAAAGGTTTGGGTTCTTACTTGTAGTTTTCATGGACTCTGATGACAAGCTATGTATTGCTGAGAATTTAGTAGATGCTGATCACCTATGGCTCCTAGATATTCAACTTGATGAAACTTGAGCATGGCCCTGGCTCCCAGGGATGTGCATTTACCTTGATGAACTTGCCTTCTGAGCAGCGCAGGCACAGATTGTGAATTGTCCTTTGAAAATGCTGGTTCTTCCTCAAAGTTCTTACCTTGCTAGTTTGGAAGCTTTTTGATAGAAGGGACTATATCTTGTTAATATTCTTTTCCCAGTATCTGGCATGAAATACATCCTTAATATTTGTTGAGTTACAGTGACTGTCTTTTGGAAGACTCCTCCCAATTGGGAGGCTAAATCTATAATCAGGCTGCAAGCCATTTCTTCACTGGAACAAGAACACAACAACCAAAAACTTCCAGAACACATTATCTATTACATGAACATTTTACTGTGAGACTACTTTCCTTTCCTACCTGAGATGAAATGAAACCAAAACAGGCTGTTGGGTCCATAAGTCAGTATATGTTAGATGAGAATTCTGTTGCCTTATTAGGAACTGTGAGACTTATCTGGTATAAGAAGCCAGTAATGAAACTTTGAGCTTTTTTAACCAATGAAGATTATGAATGCGTTTATGTGATGTAAATTGCTATTTAAGTGTAAAGTGGTTCTAAGTTTTGGTGTTTTGGGTTTGGTTTACACATACACAGACACACACATGTATATACACACATGTAGTGTGTATATTCCTTTTTGAAAAATATTGGGATATTTTGATAAGGTTATTGTGCATGTTAGATTTTAGTTTTGCAAGCATGTTGTTTTTCAAAAGTATGAAATATAGGAAAAGTTAAAATAGTAAGAGGGAAAGGCAATTATATTCTTCTTCTATAGTTAAAAAAAAAAAGCATTCACGGAGTGCCTACTATATGCACAGCATACAACCATATATGTGAGTAGCTTATCTAGTTATGTAGGGGATAACATACTACATTTGAAATCTTGGATGGATTTTTACCATGTGAATGAATAGCAACATAGCAATAACTATAGCAGCGCTGAATTATCCTCAGTACTGGCTCTCAGAATTTTATTTCTGGAATAAGATATAGACAATTTAATAAAACATGTCTAGACTGTGCCTTATGAGCCAATGAAATGTATGTCTTCATTCACAAGTTTGGCTAAATGTGGATTAATCATTCCATCACTATCTGCATATTCTTGCTTTTCTTCCTATTGGGCTTGTAGGTTGACAATTTGTTGAAGCAACCTTATTTTCCACTCCTTAAAAATAAATCAGAGAACTTGCCCTTTAAACTGTTAAATTCAAACAGAGTATTTCTGTTTTATGAAAAAAATCTATTTTTCAATAAATGGATATTTGTTTGAAGGGTCCCAGAAAATAATAATAAAAACTATGGAGACCAGCCTGTCATTGTGTGTTTCATGCTTTAACAAAACATCCAAAACTGGGCTAGAGGAAATATACTTAGTCTATAACAACAAAACCAATAAAGTTCAGCATTTATTGAGCATCTACTAATAATGTAGGCATTGAGAGAAAGCAGAGAATGGAAAATACAAAAAAAAAAAATGCTTTCATGAAGTTTTATTATGTAGGGTGTAAGCAGGCAAGAAAAAAACAAATAACCATAGGCTATAGTTAAACAATAGAATATTACCCAGCAATCAAAAAGGATAAATTCATACCCTTTGCAGCAACATGGATGGAGCTGGAAAGGATTATGCTCAGTGAAAAAAGACAGAAAGAAAAAGGAAAACATCGATTAGTCTCACTTATAGGAGGAATATAGAGAAAACAAAAAAGGAATAAAAAAAACTAATATAATGCTATATTATAATACTATAATAAAGTAAAAATCAAAATTATCAGAGACACTCTGTAGGGGAGGAGGAGGGAGAAGGACCAGGACAGGGGTGGGAAGAGCATAGGGACTATGGTGATGGTACACAGGGGAACTGGTGGTGGGGATTTCATAGGGAAACCATACATTGTACAAAAATGAAGGATGATATAATGGATATATTAAAAAAGGAAAATAAATAGATAAATAAATGAATAACCATAGCCAATTAAATGTGTAGCGGGTAAATACAGAGCAAGAAAGCGTAGGGAGATTTGGAGTGCATGAGGGTATATTGCCAGTTTAAACAGAGGAAACAAAGAAACAGTTTAGAAAACACCTAGAGGATGTAAGGGAAGGAGCCATGCAGGTAAATTTGGGGATGAATGATAACTTACTGGAGGGACCAGCGAGTGCAAAGCTCCTGTGTTGATCCATCCCTTGCACATCCAAAGAATAGCAGGAAAGAATACACAGTATTAGGAAATGATGTGAGAGGAATTGACAACCCGATCACACAGAACATGGAGAGCATTACAGAGTCTCTAGCTTTTCTTTTGTGTGAGATAGGGGGGCCATAAAGGAGTC